CGCCGTCTGTAAGTGAGGTCACAAAAGCTATCTGTAATCTGAAACGAGGCAAAGCGGCAGGACCCGACGGAATTATTCCGGAGATGTATAAATATGGGGGTGACACACTAGTATATAGTTTAACTAAGATACTAGGTAACGTCTGGGAATCAGGGACGGTTCCATCAGATTGGGGTAAGTCACTTATTATACCAATATTCAAGAAGGGAGACAAGTCCTCATACGATAATCTTAGAGGAATCAGCCTGACGAACATAGTCTCTAAAATCCTAGGCTCAGTAATCATGCACAGGCTAAGTCGAACTCGGGAGGAACAAACGAGGGAAAATCAAGCAGGCTTTAGGCCAGGTAGAGGGTGCATAGATCATATGTTCACTCTCCGACAGATCCCAGAACATAGACACACTTTTAGGCGGCCAACAATTGCCATATTTATTGACTTGAAGGCGGCCTTCGACTCCGTGGATCGAAAGGTACTATGGCAATGTTTGACTGTGAAGGGAGTGCCAAGGAAGTACATTGCACTAATCAAGGCACTCTACTCAAACTCACGTATCTGTGTAAGGGCTTGTGGGGAATTGTCATCTGAATTGATAACAACCAGTGGTGTCAGTCAAAGATGTCCACTTTCCCCTTTTCTGATTAACTTCATCATAGATATGCTAATGGAAGTATCCTTAACTGAACTTAACGACTTAGGAATCGACTTGATACCAGGGAATAGTCTTATGGACTTAGAATATGCAGATGACATAGTCCTGTTAGGGAAGGATGCTGACAAAATGCAGAGTCTTCTGGACACATTGAGCAGCAATCTTCGTATGTTTGGCATGCGATTCGCCCCTGTAAAATGTAAGATGCTGCTACAGGACTGGACTACGTCAACTCCCAGCTTAGTGATAGAGAATGAAGTGATAGAACATGTTGACCACTTCACCTATTTGGGAAGTTGTATCAGCACCAACGGACTGATTGACGACGAAATCTCAGCACGGATCCAAAAAGCTCGAGTTGCTTTCGCTAACTTACGCCATCTCTGGCGTAGGCGTGACATCCGGCTATCAACCAAGGGGCGTGTATACTGCTCAGTATTTCGCTCCGTCCTTCTCTATGGCTCTGAAACATGACCAATACGAGTTGAAGACATGAAAAGGTTGACTGTTTTCGATCATAGATGTCTACGATCTCTTTGTCACATTAGGTGGCATAATAAAGTAAGTAATGTTAACGTTAGGCGTAGTGTTGGGCAAAGAGGGAAAATCAATCGACGAGGCTATAAAGTTACATAGACTGAGATGGCTAGGTCACGTGCTGCTCACGCCTACCCATCGCCTCCCCCGACGGGCATTACTAGCTGATATAGGTGCAGGTTGGAAAAGAGTAAGTGGTGGCCAAACAAAAACATGGCATCAATCCATGAAATCCTTGACAGTCAAACTGAGCCAGGTAGGGAGATGCAGACTTCCGTGTTGGGGCCCTCGGGACTCTAAGAATCAGTAGCTGGAGACACTAGGTGACATGTCTCAAAATCGTTGTCAGTGGCGCAGATGTATTCAGTCTCTGTAATATTGCATATTCCTTTCTACCATTACTCATTCTGTTTCACTCTTATACTTGTCAAAACTCTATTGATTCCCTTCACTCATCTTCTTGTCTACTTTTGTGTGCTCTTTGGAACGTGGCAACTCGAACTGCTGCACTTCGGTGCCAAGTTCCCTGTTGAATCCAGCCATCCAGCCAGCAGACCTCCTTCAATGCATAGTCAGATGTCATACCAACAACAGAGATAACGCAAGTTGGGGAATGCAATACTAGCCTCGACTTAGAATACAGTGCATCAGTCGTGGCGTTTTACTATCTCAGTGATCTCTTTGCCACTTAACATATTTCAGACATAAAGCTTAACTAGTTAACAATTAAAGTAATGTAACAAGGAACAGTTTCATCGACATAGAGTATGTGGATGACATTTTCCTCCTAGGTGAAGACTCTGACAAAATGCAGTCCTCCCAACAACTTGAGCAGAAATCTTCGAGTCTTCGGAATGGTATTCGCCCCTGGCAGATGTAAGATAGAGCCGTTGGACTGATCTACGCCGACTCATGGCTTAAAGATAGGAAATTAAGTTGTAGAACGTGTTGACCGCTTCACCTATTTGAGCAGTTGAATCAGCCCCAACGAGCTGATTGGTGACAACACCTCAGCATCGATGCAGAATGCTCGTGGAGTGTTTCCCCACTCAACTCATTTCTAGAGTAGGTGTGATATCCGCCTACCGATCAAGGGATGTATGCACTGTGCAGAAATCCGCTCTGTCCTCCTTTATGGCTGAGACACATGCCCGATGAGAGTGTAAAACCTGAAGACAATAGTTGTCGTTGATCACATATGTTTGCGTCCTATCTCTCGTGTGAAGTAGTCTCATATGGTAGGTAATATTGGGCTTGGGCGTAGTGTTAAGTAAGAAGGACAAGCCAATCAATGAGGTGGTGAAGTTGAATTGAGATGTATAGGACACATGTTGAGCATCCCGAGCCATCGCCTTGCTTGACAGGCAATGTTAGCCCATATAGCATTGAGTTAGAAAAGCTCCGGGATTGATCAAACCGAATTATGACACAAGTCAATGAGGTCTTTGATAGTTGGTTTGAGTCGCGTAGTGAGCCATAGGCTGCTTGTCGGGTCAGCATCCTGAAGATGTTAAGAATGAATGGCTTGAGGATATTTGTGACATAGCTTGTAATCGTTGTCAGTGGCGCGGATGCATTCATTTTTTATCTATTCCTTTGAATAACTGCTTTTCTCTCGTTTGTCTACCTCTGTGTATTGCAACCTGGAACGCTTTACTTCCCTGAAAGCTCTGTTATTATTCAGACAGACAGTCAAATATTTTGAGTGACACTATTCCCGGACTAAATTCCACCTGACTTTTCAGGGTTCGTTTCTAACCTGGAGGTTCAGACTGTATGGTAGTCAAGTCAACCTTATATGATTATCACAGGAAGGCTTGTCTCTTCTTATAACCGGGATAATCAGTGATTTTCACCTGTACCAAACATTACCGATTATCTTAGTTAACCCAGATAAAATTTCGTCACCACCATTGTTAAAAATCTATGAAAAGTCGTCGCATCAGGTTCAGCTGCCTTGCATATTTTCAGATTAGAAACAGCTTTTCCAAGCTCACTTTCATTTGGAGGCCCGACGTCTAAATACCACTCAGTTAGGTTTCGGATGTTGATCGAACTGAGCTTGACGGTAGGCCAGTCTTCTATCTTGAGAGATAGTTAAGACGACGTTCTCCTCACAGTTAGTCTCGCTCATCATTTGTCTCTCACAACCAGTTTCTTTGATGAGCTCAAACAACTGTCTCGTGTAACCCGGCGCAGATGTCTTCTGTCTGCAAGCTCGGCCATCATGTCAAGGTAGCAGGCATCGGTCGGGAATTCCTCATTTCATCACGCTCCAACAGACTCTGGAATATGCAGATACTTACTAGCGTCTAACTATTGCCGTACTTTCCTACCTAGAGGTGGCATTCCTTCTTGTGCAATGTAAGATGGCATGGGATTAGGTTGGGAAAGATTTATAAGTGGTCAAATCAAAACATGGCATCAATCCATGAAGTATTTGACTGTTTGCTGGCGGTACGCGGGAAGGTTCATACTACCTTGTGGGGCTCTCGAGACTCCAAGGATCAATAGCTGGAGACCATCAGTGACGTGGCTCAAAACCGTTCTCAACAGTGGTGATGCAGTCACTTTTTATGACGTCCCAGTTCCTCGTGTTTCTCTACTTAATTATTGCTTAAACCGTAGATTTCTGTTCATTATGGTCCTATTCTGCCGGAGACAGAACTTAACCGAAAACACCACTATGCTGTATAGCATTGTGCCAAAAATATCACTTAAATAACTGAAACACCAGCAAACCACAACAGCAGGTATTAATCTCCATCCACTGAAAATATATTTACATATTCAATCAAGACAAGATAAAATTTCAAGGTCAATGGAAGCAAACCAAGGAACGAGAAGTTTGCAATTGATTATTGGAATCGAATATCATGTCTGAGAATGCTTCCACTCATTTAAAGAAGGAAAACAAAATAAACGCTTTTAGGAATAAGGCATAGAAAGACTCCAGCGTATTTGAATGGTCAATATATCATTGAAAAAAGCATTCAATACTTGAGTGACTAATTGATGTACATATTAAATTATCCTCTTGGTAGAATGTACTCTGCAGAAGTCAAATGATTTGTACTTTATCTGGAGAACTGTCGTGCATCTTCAACTGTCTTCATCCATCTGTGTCTGTAGAAAAAGAAGCAAAACATAATGTTCAGCGACTACATATAAGTAGGGAATAACATATTCCACTTATTTGTGCTAGTCAGTGGCGCAGTGAGCTTTCTAGCCTGGTAAAAGCAGAGATAGTTTATCTATTATGGTTAATCCAGTGATTAACGCACTTGACGTTACTGTTTCCTTCAGTTGAAACATCATGCTATTACAACAATAAGCTACAAGATCAACAGTTACATTAATCCCTTCGAAAAAAATTAATAAATAACATAGGACAACTCATCCACGTTGTATATCTTGCAAACACAATTAATGTATTGGGCCTAGAGATCCAGAGTATTTCTTAATGGAATTTGAAGACATGAGTAGATGGTGGCTTGTCCAACAGTACAATCACCACTGTGTACTTGCTTAACCTTTTGACTAAATCAATTCTAAATTATTAGATATAATTAAATGGCACACAAAATGTTTTTGTAAGACATGAGAATACAATCCGGTAACCCAAACAAAAGTAAGCAGTGTCGAAACAGGTGGTTTCGAAGTCACTCTAAGAAACCAGCGATTATTGTGATTCATCTCAATTTAGTTTAGAAGATTAAAAATCTTGCACTGAGTAGCTGGGTGGCAAGACAACTTTTGACAATGTTTCTAAAACAATCTAATCATTAGGAATTAGAAGTCCGAGTGTTTATCACATTTCATTATTGATTCTCTGTTTCGGCATATGCAAGCACAGGATGGTAGCATAATCCGATGAAAGATTACCTGAGTATAATGACGATAATTAGGATGGAAATTATGAACAGCATCAACAAGTATATCTGTAGGGTCGATAGTTGCTTTGATACTCGCAGATATACTTGGAATTACATTTGAGTTTTGACTACTCCATAACTTTTCAAATCCATCATTATTCAATTGCCAGTCAACGATATCCCAGGGTAGTGGTTCACCATATCCTGCTGACGGTGCATAGCTAACAAATGTTGCTGGTGTTAAACGTGAATCACCTTTGTTCAAGTCTATTCTAGTTGAATCATTTGCTGCTCTGAAATCAACTGATGGCTTTGTAGTAAACATAAAATCGTCATTCAGCCAGTTCGAATCGTTCGAAGGAACATCAAATACAAGGCGAGGTGGATGACTACAAAGATAAAAAAACACGTAAGAATGTAAGATTAAAAATAACTCAATTGTTAGTGAACGGCGTGCGTTCATGAGGTGTAATCTACCTCAGTTTTAAATATGAAGTGTGATGGAACCAGAGGTTTGGAAACGTTTTATTTTTCAAAGTAATAACATCCACGTTAGAAAAGTACATTATGTGTCGCTTTGTCGAAATTCACAAATATTTTTCCATTCCATAATGAAAACAATTTACTTTACTCAACACGCATGTTTATGCCACACACGCCGTATCAAAACCGGTAATACTTTTTCGGTGGCATAACCCTGGTAGGCTAAGAAAGCGGTTTCAAAACCCGTTGAACGTCCATTGTCAAAGGACAACTAGAAACGTTGGATCAGCAATAAACTCGGTGGACTTCATTCTGTTACGAATAAGTAAGCTTCGGCAGAATCAGTAATAAAATCTTAGAAATGCAAACTTATTATTATTGTTTGAATGCAGAAAAACTTGGTACAATATGGCACCAAGAAAGATGCACCACACAATAATAATAAAACAACATAGATTAAAAGTGAAAATTTAAGTAAAGAACGGATAAAGAACTTCATCTGGAAGGAAAACAGTCATGTTTAACAAGTTCAAGCAGTTTTCGTCAACTATCATCAGGAAGGGAAGAAAGAAGGAAATTGCAACACGTTCGCCATTGATTACGATTCTTGGCCATATCCGATAACGTTTCGAGCCGTCGATTCGAGCTGTCTCTCGGACCCTAACCAGGGAGTCATGACGCACCAACCGATGCTAATCTAGCACAAATATCCTTCATCCCACGACACCGCGTCATGGACTGACCACCCCTCCGCCTTTTCCATCCCGCCCCAGGGCTAGAGAACAGAGATCTATACGACACTCAATGAATGGTGATCTCCACTGTGTTCAAACAGACGCCGCCGAACCTCAGAATTACTCACGCGATGATGTCATCGAACGCAAGCAATCCTGCGGAGAAAGCGATGATCGAACACGCAGAGTCGCCGCACATCCTCAGCTCGGACAGGCCAGGTTTCACTGGCGTAGAGCAAGACAGCCGGCACCGAAGCATTGTATACCCGACCTTTGATAGCTAACCTAACGTCGCGCCAGAGATGGCTCAATTTGATGTATGCCACGCTAGCCTTCATTATACGGTTGGAAATCTCATCCATCACCCCTCACTTATCAACAACTTCAAGTGGTTCACCCGCAAGAGTGAGTGCAAGTACAGGCTCCTGCCAATCTAGTAACAGAACTCTGCACTCAGACTGTGCAAAGCACATACCATATATACAGACACTGATCGTCAACTGTTTAAGTGCGATTGGGTAGCCTGCGTGCTATCGCACAGTAAGACGGTATCGTCTGCATACTCGAGGTGGAGAAGTCTTTCTTCAGAAAGCAGATCTACACCACCACCACCACCACCACTTACATCCTTCAGAGCTGACTCCAGAATGTCATCGATGGCAAAGTTAAAGAGAAATGGAGAGATCGGGCAACCCTGTCTAATCCCACTGTTGGTTGGGAACAGTGATGATAGTTGCTTGCATGCCATAACTCTACTTGAGGTGTTTCTGCATAGGGCCTTCAAGATGTTAACAAAGTTCTCAGGTACACCTCTCTCTAACAAGACAGTTCCAGAGCACAGTTCTGTCCAACGAATCGAAGGCAGCCCCAATATCAAGAAACACAACGATCGTTGGCCTGCAGTACGTGTGGCTATGTTGCAACAACTGACGAAGGGTGAACACATGATCAATGCATCCATGACCTGAACGAAACCCAGCCTGCTTTTCGCGAATCAATTCTTCATGTGTTTTGCACAGCCTGTGGAGCAAGACAGCAGCCAACATTTTAGACACGACTAGTAGCAGACTGATACCCCTATGATTGTCACACGAATTACGTCAACCCTTTTTAAAGATGGGGACGATAATGGCTTCGTTCCACATTGACGGTACACTCTCTGTCTCCCATACCTTCCTGAACAACCCAGTTAAGGCCATTGTGAGAGTCTCGCCACCATTTTTAAAAAGAGCCGGGGGTAAATTGTCTGGGCCGGGCGCCTTATGGCGTTTTAACACTTGGAGTTGCTTACGGACCTCCGCTTCGGTGGGTGGGTCGGTATTAACCGACCAAGGAGCACTGGGGCTAATGACAGCAGACATTGAAGCTGGTGGCCAGCTAAACTCTTTCTCGAAGTGCTCTGCCCAACGTTTCAGGCGTGTTTTCATGCTGGTAATGGGCGTGCCATCTGCCTCAGACCGCCTCGCTGACCCCTCTTGTTTCTTGCTGCCGGTGGCTCGGATGAGCTGGAACAGCTTCCGACTGTTGCAGATGCAACAACTGACTCCATCATACACGAACGTTCTGACCACCAGGCTTCGTGGTCCTTACGTAAACTCTGTCTAATCTTGCGCGTAAGCACCTTTCGCTTATTGCTGGACTCGCTGCCAGCCGGAATGGACCGGCGTTCACCCAGGAGTTTTAAGGAACTCACAGAAACCCAGTGAGTTTTAGCGAAGCATTCTTTCAAGCCGCAAGCGGATACACTCGCCATTTGTATGGCGTCTTGCAGATAAAGTCAATGTTCATCTATACTACTTGGAGGGTTGCTGGCAAGCATTGATTGTAACTCATTCTGATATTTCAAACAAGTAGCAGGTGTTACTAGTTTGCTCACATCAACGTTTAGACGACGCCTTTTATGAACCCCACCAAATCGCAAGACGAACTTGGCACACACTAACGCATGATTGGAGTCCAGGCATGTGCTCCAGAAGGGGCGACAGTCTTGCATGCATCCTCGCCACCGGAAACTGACGGCAATATGATCAATCTGAGTCCAAGTTTGATTCGCGGAAGAAGTACGCCCGGCAGCGCCACGGCGACGGCCGTGCCGGAAGTTGGTGCTGGCTAGAAATGGGTTGTGATCTGCGCAAAGTTATAGTAGGCGGTCCCCGTTATCTGACCCGCGACCATGTCAACTGCACTGACCACCCACACGATTCTCCTATGAGCTTAGACGCCCAACCTGCACATTTAAGTCACCAACTAGCACTACGATATCCTTCTGACCCGCCTTTTTCAAGAGATCGCCCCTGGTGAATCTGACACTTCATAGAAGCCTCCAGATGGACAATATACACGCTAACCTCCTGGCTGCCATCAGCACACAACTGGAAAATTCATCTCAGCGGCTGGACACTGAATCCACTCGACAAATTATTCTGCGACTATATGCGAATGATATTACTCTTGAGGAGACACGTCAACCTTTGGATAAGCAGGCCCACCAACTGTTCCCTACAAAATGGAAACCATCCAAGCAGCGATACGTCTCCGGTCTCCCGCCGAACTTAAACGACAAGAAGAGGCGACGCATTCTATATGCCCACATGCAAACGCTCTTCCACCGTTCGCCGAAAGACGCTGCAAACACGGTACTTGGTGGCAGGTGGAGAGACCCGTTTACATGTCAGCCTTCCACTATAGGAGGCTTCAATGAATTTTGGATAGACACCTTCACACGCCCAGCCCTACCAGACACTAGACCGGTCCAGGAATACCTTCCAACTAACAACGACTTGATCGCCCCAGTTTCAACTGATGAGATCAAATGGGCACTAAAAGAAATGGTCAAATCCGCCGCAGGTGTCGACCGCACAACCGCCAGGGACCTCCAGAAAATCAACCCCACTAGTCTGGCTGGGTATCTTAACACTCTTTTGCTGACGTCTTTTTTACCTTCACCTTTGTCAGCTTCCAGGGTCACCTTCATTCCGAAGACATCACATCCCGATAACCCTACCGACTTCCGGCCTATCTCCATCACTTCTGCTGTTACGCGCTGTCTGCACGAGATTATCGCCAAGCGATGGTCCAGATCATTCCCAATGGAAAAACTACAGTTTGCCTTCCTGCAACGTGATGGCTGCTTCGAAGCAACCAATCTACTTCACGCCATCTTGAGAGAAGCGCACTCCAACTACACAAGTTGCGCATTAGCTATCCTCGACATCTCGAAAGCTTTCGACAGCGTCTTACATCAAACAATTCTAAGGGTGGCTGAGAGTTTTGGTGCGCCCCCAATGCTTAGAGAATATCTTACAAACTACTACTCCAACTCCTACAGTCTCTTCCACGAAGTGAATTGTCATCCAACATGAGAAGTCAAACAGGGTGACCCTCTGTCACCGCTTCTCTGCATCATGACTATGGATGAAATACTCAATGTTCTTGAAGCCCATGACCCCATCTACGTCGATGGCCATCCTCTGCACTACATAGCATATGCTGATGATCTCATCATCCTGGCTCCAAATGCTGCGGCTCTTCATAACAAAATCCAGGACAAAGCGATTTGCTGGGAATGACGGAACGCTGAGAGTACTACAAAAAACCGCAGAGTGATCAGAATATGTTGAGGACAACGAGGAGATATTTCAACGAAAACTTGGAAAACTGCGTAAATTTCCAGAGCAAAATTAACGAAAGTTGAGAAAAATAGGGCCTATTAGGAATAGAAGCTACAGCGGGATATGGTGAAATTTGAAGATGTACAGAGAATAGACAGTGCAGATTTAGGAAAATTAGATCAGGGGCTCAGAGGGGTGAAAGGGAAGAAGGTACAATGAGACAAACAGCGGGAGTAGCACAATATTTTGAAAGGGTGCTAAAATGTGGTCGAAAGCTACCCCCCGTTAAAAAGTTTGGGAGAAAGCAAAAAGCTCCGGATTTTTTGTAAAAATAAAGAAATAGTGTTGACAATTTGGAATCTGAGATGTATGTAGAAGTTTAGCTTTGGAAAGAGGCAGCAGAACTCTCCTGTTGGGGGATACTATGCGAAGAGGGGGCTCACAACTTTTACACAGGCGATAGGAGTATGAGGCTTTTCGGTCTACACGGTTAAGAATGATGAAAGAAGTTGTTTTGGATGGTTCAGGACAAAGATATTTGGACAGAGAAGAACAAGACTGAATAAATTTGAAGTATTATAGGTGGTATTAGAAGCAAAAGTGGTAAAAGGTCTCGTGGAGGGAAAGAGAAAGGTTATGACGAGACAAAAAGTGGCTTCGCTCTTACTAGATAGACCAGGGGAGATTACAAGCAAGGACCAGTGTTGTCACTGTCACTAGATCAGAAAATCCTTTGTTGAGTATAAAGTACTTTTTCGGCCGAAATGGCTAAAAGTACCAGGAACAAAATGATGTGGAATAGAAATGGACAAATAATGAGGATAAAATAGGTATCAAAAGATTCAGCTCGGCGAGCTGCAACCGATTATTACAATTTCAGAAAGTTAGAATGAGATGAAAAAGAACTGCTGGGTGAGAATAGTGGAAATTTACCGTTTTTCAGTTAGATACTGGAAGTTAATAACCAAAAATCGTGAGTTGAAGGAATTCCTTGGTAAAATGTATTTGAAAAGAATGGGTTTGGGGACTAGTAACACCGCGTCAAAAATAATGGAGAAATAAGTTACAGTTCAGATGAAACTAACGAAAAAGTAAATTCCGAAAATCAGGGTTTAAGGTAGATTCGGATTGTCACACAATTGAGACGACCGGTGATGAAAACGTCAGATTTCCACTATAATAATAATAATATATTTCGTATAAACGGGTAAGTTTACATGAAATGCATGCCATTTTTACAAGCACGATCAATTATGCTACGAATTACAATTGTGAATTAGCATACATTATC